ACAGATGAGTTGCTTAGGGACATGGTTTAGTGGTGGGATGTCAGGGTTAGGTTAAAGGTTGGACTTGATGATCTCAAATGTCTTTTCCAACCTAAACGATTCTATGATTCTATGATTCTACAGATGCTGAAAGTAGCCAACATTGAGAAATTCACATTAAAGTTTAATTTTTAAATCCTCCCTTTAGGTTACACAAATTTGTAACAACAGAAGTGAGAGGAGAAAAACCATCTAACAATGTACGTGTGCTTAGTGCATAAGTTACTTCATAAAACTTTTACACTTTGTTATTAAGTTTCATATCCTCAAAACACTTTTGATGTTGTGCACTTCTTTAAAATTACAAGGTGTTCAACAAAGTTGGGTTTCTGCTTGCAGCAACATAAGTTTGCTCTGACTTCTTTGTTTGGCTGAAGCTCTTTACTTCATATATACTCTTTTTTTTAATGCAGTAAAAATTTAAGCTAGAATCTTTCCCTTTTCTATTTTTATTGAATACTGAATCTTTAAAGATGTGTTTGGGATTTCAATAACTCTTCCATAGAGCTAGCCAGACCCAGAATTACAAAATTCATTAACGTTAAAATGGGTTAAAGGAATTCAGCAATTATTCCTCTAATGCTCTTACATTTTAATGAGCTGATTAGTATCTTGTTAAGAAAACAATATACTTCATATATGAACTCTTCCTGGTGATTGTGAAGTATAAATGACATTTGAAGCTGCATCAGACTGATAGCCTTTTATCTTTTTAACAACCTGCTGTGAGCAAACTTCTGACGTTAAACGTACAATTTTTGTGATCAAGAATTCTGATTTGCTTGACATTTTTTCAGTGTTATCCTTAGGCTTTTTTTTCCCATTTTTTTTCTGCATAAAAATACATTGTAAGACAAAAGAAAATCTTGTCAAATATTTGATTTTCTTGAAAAATATTTCTCCTTAATTTCTGTTACAGCATGGGGGTGTTTTTGCACTCTCTCTTCCCCCCTCCCCCTTACTTTCTTAAAGTAGCATAAGCCAGCATGACCTTCGGCATGAGAGATCATAGGAAATGCAAATAAGAGAAGAAAAGAGGAGAACTCTATCTGTGTTTAAATTTTCATAAATATTTTCTATGATAGTTTATAATTTTGAGCAGACCTTTGACTGCACATAACCGGTCTTTCCACTTTGCTCCATAAAAATAACCAGTGATATAGGAGGCTATTTCAAAAGTTGTATCTTTAAACATGTATAAAATAGTGTTCATATTATATGTCTTTCTCTTTCAAATCCAAAGACATCATATAAGTATTTCAGAGTCCTATTTTAATTATGTGCACATATGAAAATTATATAGCACATAAACATTTATATTTGTAATGCATCACCAGTGCTGAACTACATGATAATAACCATAGCAACTGGGCTTTTGGCCATGCAATTGTGAGAAAACTAAGAGACAATGCAATAAACATGCTCTCCTTTTTCAAGTTTTGTGACATTTTGCATAGGCACATTACAGCACAGGCTTTTTCCTGTAAGACAGTGTCAAAGGACTTGTTTAATGGCCCCTGTTGTTTCCTTTTGAGCTGTATGCCATTTCTCTCTTTAATTAGAACAGCTCTTCAAGCTGCAAAGACGTAACTATTTTACACTGCAGAATAAACCATGCATTCAAGCAAGTCCATTAACTTAATTTTTATTTTTTTTCTGTGCAGGTGGTTAGTTTCTAAGCTTCTGGAATCCATTGCTTTCAGTGAAAAAAGGGAAAGTGAATGCCATTATGTGTAGCTCTGTATCTCATAATCAGAAATGCCTTGGTTTATCCTTGGGATTATAAATTACCCTTCAAGCCATTAGAGCCCAGTAAAATTGCAGGGCACCAATTACTTTAATTACTTTAAGGTTAGGACCTTTCCTTACAAAAATCTTTTTCAATGCTTTACTTTCTGTCTTACTGAAAATAACTGGAAACATGCAAGCCTGCTGTTAACAAGCAATACTATAAAGTGTTCTACTTCAACTATACTGAAATTTTATCTTACAGTATTACATCACAAGCATGACATTTTTAAAATTCTTATATTTATTTCAGGGTAATGTAAGCCAATCTTTTTTTAGTCCATCTCTACCTATCTATATGTTTTAGAGCTCAGTATCGATTACTGAATAAACACAGTTTAATCTAAAGACCATTTAACTGTATACTACCTTACTCAAGGTTGTTTGCAGGTAATTAATGAATTTAAATGCAAGAAAAAGTGTTATTAGTAAGTGAGATGTTATATATTACTTGTTTAAAATATCTTAATATGGAAAATTTCCTAATTTATTTCAGAAAAATTGTGATTACACTACAGAAATTTTTCTATATATGAAGCAAGAGGTCTCCAAAATATTATGTTTTAAATCAGAAAACCATCCTTTATGCTGTAAAGTAAAGATCTTCCCTTCAAGTGTCTGAAAAGCACATTTCAGTTTCTTAAAGGAAATACAGAGTATAAGCACTATCACCCAAGTTATCAGGATGAAAGTATCCCATTCTTTGCTTCAAGAAAATTTATCTGAACTTTCTGGTCAAATTCAAGACAGTGTCTTGGATATTTTAAAGCTGAAATCACAATGAAAATCTTTATATTAAATTTACTTTGGATCTGACTTCCTAAAGCATTCCTGTGATGTAAGCTTCTGATAAGTTGCTATGATTTTACAGGATAGTGACATCAATTTATACTGTGAGTGATATGCTGAATGATGCAAATATTGTTTCAACAGGAACACATCAGCCATTTAAGATCAGGGATTTGAAGAAGCACTAAATCAAGAGTGGAAGAGAGAGTGTCATGCTACAAAGAAGCTGAACTACAAATACACATTGAACTTGAAATTGCTCTTGTGAAGGGGTTGCTTACAAAATTCTAAAAGAACTTCAACCAGTTATGACTCTCTATGCCTTTTTAAAGATCTCTATGTGTTATAAACAGCCTCTTCTCTCTCCCAAGTTCTGCAGTACTATTTGCTACACCTCAGCACTTCCAGCTAACATTCCTCCACTAACCTTGCCTGAGAAACTTCCATTACAGTTCCCAAGTAAATATTTGAATGAACAGAAATCACATTCAAGCCATTGTAGTATAACAACACTGATACCTGCAAAGCAGCTGTGCAAGCCAATAATAATTTAAAAACCCAATAAAAATATCCCCCTCAAACCCAACTTCCTTTTATTCTTTGTTTTTACAACCTTATCAAGATTTATTTTATTGGAGGAGATAATATCATAACTAGAAGCACACGGGGTCATGAATGAACTGTGGAAGTAGTTACTGAACTCATAGGCCTTCTATTGTTTGAGCTCCAGCTCTCACTTTCTCCGTATTTTTTTTCAGCTGGAGGTCAAATGGCTACCTGTTAGCCGTGCTCCTGAAATGGAAACAGAAATCTGAAGTTCAGAGGCCTGGAACTACTTATATTTACCAGCTGTCAGGTTCTCTAACCAAGTGATTTGTTTTATGATAGTTTTCTTGTCTAAAAGATAAAATGTAGCAGAATTTTCTCAGAACTCTGTTTAAGACTGAGGTCTAATAATACCATGATAGGACCGCTGTTGTGGTGTTTAGAGTTTTAAATATACTATCCCAGCATGAGAAAACTTTGACAAATGTTAGTATTGCTCCCAGCTCAGAAGTAGGTGGACAGTACCATGATTTTGCTAACAAATACCTTGATGGGACCTGCAGCAGACAAGACTAAAGTTATGAATATGAGAGGTCTGAATTTACCAGGGAGGAGTGGATTAAGGTTGAATCTCAGACCCCACACAATCTCTGCTGAGATCTCCACACCACCAGATATGTTAATAGACATGCAGGTAAGCAACTTGCCTTTAACCCCACTGTTTTCCAGTTGTGCCTATATGAAGATCTGCCTCATGTTTCATGGTAATGTCCTATTTTCAGGAGGATCTGGGAAATTAAGATGGAGTTCTTTTCACATCCCTGCCTCTTAAAAACCTCTCATGATAGGATTTACCTAGATAAAGCACTTGGTTGCCTTCCTGTAAAGTGCTGAAGGGAAATCAAGGTTGAAGGTAGAATATCTGAAATTCTGGGCCTGTTTTTCATGATAATACATTTGAAAAAGATGCTATAGATAGACCATAGCATTTACTCGGGATCTTGAATTGTTGATAGCTTCTGGAAAGTATGTAGTAGTGAAGGACTTCAAAAGCAACCACTAACAACTTCAAGGAAAAAAAAAAAAATCTCAGTCTCGTAATGTATGAATGTGTACATGATATATATGCATAAACATGGACATAAAACATGTATATTTATATACATATATACATGCAAAACTGTGCTCACACACACATAGTTATAGGTGCAGACTATCCTACAGATACATAGGCAGTTTATCCCACTCTATTCCTAAGTTTACAGTTCTTTCTTTCATAGAATCACAGAATGTTTTGGGTTGGAAGGGACCCCTACAGGTCATCTAGTCCAGTGTGGCAAAATGATACATGTTTCAGGAAACTAGTAATGAGTGAAATATATAACTGCTGAGTATTCAAATATGTCATTAAAGGATAGAATTTGGGATCATGTTTTAGAGTTATTTTTACTGATAGTTGGTTCTATTTTAAAATTAGAAAGTCCACAGAAAACTACTCTTTTTGGTTTTTTTTTTTTTTTTCTAATTTTGAGATCCTAGCCCAACAAAGTCAGTGGACACTGTAACTTGTGTAATGTATTCAAATTACAATTTAGAGCCTTAACAAGCAACATGAAGATGATTTATCCATGTTAAAAAAATTGTTACTCACATGCAAACTGAAGAACAGCCTCTCTGCTTAAAATACTGCCAAACATGTTGGTGGTTAAACACTGATACTGTCCAGAATCCTTCATTTCGCTGGGGTTGTTGATGATCAAACTTCCTTCTATTAAACTGAAGCGATAATCACTTTCAATGTCGATTTCAGTTCCATTTTGAAGCCATCTTAGGAAAAAAGAAGGAAACTACTTGAGAATTTTATGGCCAGAGGAAGGCATCAAGTTTAGTATACAGAACCTGACAGCCACAGTTGTTATAAGAATGACAGCTACTCAAAGATAGCTTGTGCAGTAACCTATTGCTTTGGCAAAGCTTTGGATAGAGACATTCCACAACATGTGCCTGACAAAAGCTAAGTTTTTCTGAAAAAAAACACAGGTAAAAAGAGATCTTCAACCTCTGGTGGGAAAGCATAGTATTTTTTTTTGCCTATGCTGAATCAAATTAATAACCTCTTTTCTTGTTCTTTTTTTTTCCCCAAAAAAACTCTCATCTGCAAAGGCTTCAGACTGGAAACCTGTATAGCAAATGCATCTTTTTTGTCAAAAATAGGGCTTTTACCACCCTTATGATAATCAAAGTTTCAATTCATGTTCTACCGTTAAAGCCTTAGGCCCAGGTGAGCTTAGAGAGTTTGCAGAGCTGTGTCTGCACTGCATGAGAGCAAAGAATCTTTTCTTTTCCTTCTTTCAGTATTTGTTCTTCTGGGTCCAGGAAATAGAGAAACCTGATTTAAATACAGAAATCAGAAGAGCAAGGCCTGTGAAGAGCAGGCAAGTAGAGTTATGTACACAGGCAATTGTGAAACAAAGGATGTTGGCAATGGACAAAGGCAAAATAATATCAGTTGGATGACTATACACAAAATTCAGAGAACATTGGGACAGGAGAGACTAGAATTACCTGGCAGCTGGTCAAGTGTAATTCCTGGACGCTACAAGGTAAATGGAAACTACAATCAAATGAGGAGTCAGCATAAGGAATGCTAAGTTCGGAGGTGATTGGGAGTGAAATGAGAAGCCTGAATAGTAAAGACAGAGATGTGAGTAAAGATAAGATGGAAAAAGCCAGGCTGTAGGAAACACACTAGAAAGTATCACACCTGAGCCAAAGCATTGAATAATTCCTGAATGAAAACTTCTTTTTCTAAGGTTTCAGAAGTAACATAAGAGTCTCATAATTTGCCTGCTGTGTGAGTGGGTTTTGGGGTTGGGGTTTTTTTTGGTTTTGTTTTGTTTTGTTTTGTTTTTCCCCTGGATATTCTCTGCCAAAAAACCTCACTCCTCTCATTCATCTTGAAAAACTGAAACAACAAACCCTGCAATAGTCCACTGGCTGCAAGAGAAAAGATTTTGTGTGGTAGATTAATAGACTCCAGCACTCTGGAATAAGCTTGGGGGGTGTGTGTGTGTGGTATCTCAATTAAAGAAGAATAATCCACATAAGAAGACTTATTAGATTTTCTTTTGTGTCAAACTCTATAGAACATGAAATTGTTAAAATGTGGAGAGATAACCAGTGTAAACAGATATGGCACAGTTATAATGATGTACAGATATTTCGTTCATTGCTAGTTCGCAATCATTCTGCAATTTCAAAGTTGCCTCAGGAAATTGCTAGGCACTTCCAAGCTTTTCCAGAGTTCAATAAAGACTGGAAAAAACTTGGCAACATCTAGACTCCAGAGGAACTTTAATGAAGAAAAATTATTATCAGTTCACCCTATCTTGTTAATATTCATCGTGAATGAGGTAGACAGCTGAATTCGGCTGAAGTAGCTCTGAATTTTTCTTAATTCAAAGGTCAGAATTGCCAGAATTAAGATGAACTGTGAAACTATTATTTGCCCCATCTTTTTCATGATTGGACTTTTGATTGCAGAGGATCCCTGCTTTGTTTAATGTAAGAAATGAAACACTGTTGAAAATATGCTCATATAGCAAAGGATATTAGGGAAATGGCTGTAAGATTCACTGCATATTTAGAGATTTATACATAGCAGAGCTAAAAAGAGGAAATTTTCATCTTGAACAATTTATTAATTAAGATTTTGAATGAAATAATAAAATGATCCTGAAATGATGGGAGATTTAAAAAGTCAAAATTACATGTTCTGACATTTCCAGATGGGAACTGACACAAAATTCAGTTTGCTTTAATTAGTTTTCTTCACTTACTTTCATTTTCAGTTAAATTCAGAGCAAAACTATGTTTTTGTAATGCTACCCCAAAACTCTTCATGGCTACCTGCCTATATGTCTTTGGGTCCATCCTGAATGATTGTTTTCCCCTCATATAATCCAAGCACATTAGAGGAAAAGTGTTCTGGTTTCAACTGGGATAGAGTTAACTTTCTTCCTCGTAGCTGGCATAGTGCTATGTTTTGGATTCAGTACGAGAAGAATGTTGATAACTCACTGATGGTTTAGTTGTTGCTGAGCAGGTCTTACACCAGTCAAGGACTTTTCCGTTTTCCCTGCTCTGCCAGGGGCACAGGAAGCTGGAAGGGGGCACAGCCAGGACAGCTGACCCCAAGTGGCCACAGGGGTATCCTAGATCATTTGACGTCATGCTTAGCATATAAAGTTGGGGGAAGAAGAAGGAATGTGGGGACATTCGGAGTTACGCCATTTGTCTTCCCAAGTCACCGTTACTCGTGATGGAGTCCTGCTTTCCTGGAGATGGCTGAGCCCCTGCCTGCCCGTGGGAAGTGGTGAATGAATTTCTTGTTTTGCTTTGCTTGCGTGCATGGCTTTTTGATTTCCCTATTAAACTGTCTTTATCTCAACCCGCGGGTTTTCTCACTTTTACTCTTCCAATTCTCTCCCCCATCCCACTGTGGGGGGAGTGAATGAGAGGCTGTGTGGGGCTTAGTGAGCAGCCAGGGTTAAATCACGACAAAAAGCAACACTGATTTGTGTGATATGTTTCCTTCTAGGTACCCTGACTGATCTGGGAGGATAGAAACCCAAATATAATACTTAAAAGGTAACAAGGTGATATGGAAAATCAGCTACATTTTTTTCTTGAAGGCAAATCACAGATAACATTTCAAAATATTTTAATTTGGCTTAAGCAGACAGAAAGTATTTTTTAGACTTTTTCAACTTCCTTTTCTATCAGGAAATTATATTGACAAAAAATTTCTAACCTGCTCATATGTGTCCTAAGTAAAATAGGAAACATAGTGTTTCACAAGCAGTCAAAGCAGTGTAGTGAAGTGACATCTCAGGGAATTCTGCACCTGCCTTTAACTCAGTAACACTGGTGACCTATGAGATCCCACAGGAAGCTTGTGAATGTCTGTATTCCTCACTGAACGTGTCTCAGTTATGTTCTTCATTGTACAGGCCCTGACTTGTGATACTAACGTATGATTTGCAGAAGTGCTGAGCAAATGGAATCAGTTTATCTCAGGGAGTTATTCCCTAAATCAGTGCATCTAGATACCTTAATGACTGGAACTCAAGAAATTAAAAATTTTTATTTCAGGGTAGAGCTTGAACAAAGGGAAAAAGGCCCTTTGCAAGGAAGAAGAAAATCTGAAATGACATGGGCATTCTGCAGTCTGTTAAAATGAAGTTGTGTCCCAGCAAAAAAAAGAATTTGTAAACAGCTTATGAACACTGTGTCATAAAATATACAGACTAAAGAAATTAATTTAAATGACCGAAACAACTTAATTCTGGAATTTTTGAGTGCTTTAATTGTTTTTTTTAATGTACCTTATAAAAAAAAAGTTGTACTGCACTTTGGTTTTGGCTGAAAAAAATTCTTAGCCGCATGGGCCTCACAGCCTATGTAAATAATATGTCTATTGTCCTGTGCTTGTAGATAATAAGACAGGGCTTTTGGTGATATGGAAATATCTCTTCTCTTCACTATTTCATATGCCACAGGTTGGGCAGAGACACAACAACAATCCTTTGCCTATCTATAGCCTTTTTTGAAGATAAATTCCCTCTGCACTTGCCCTGGAGAAAGAGTAATTTCCTCACAAAGTAATTTATCTCTCTTTTCTCTTCCCCTGAATGGTAGTTTGTATTGCATATGCTGTACAGACAAGTGGCAGCAACAGAAGGAGGAGAAGTTAAACTGTGCTGATAGAATTAGGCCTTTTGGGTCAAAGCTTTCCTTGCATCAACAGCAGTCAGGAAAGATTGTTTATGAGGTGCTGACACCAATTAATCTCTGGGAAACTGAAGGAATGGATATCACAAAATCATAAAACAGCCCGGGTTGGAAGGGACCTCGAAAAATAATTTGGCCCAATCTTTCATAGGAAAGGGACCCTAGATAAGATTATCTAACACCTTGTTCAATTACATCTTGAGAACCTCCACTGATGAGGACTCTGTCAAGTCCTTGAGGAGATTGTTCCAGTGAATGATAGTTCTCACAGTAAAAAATTTCTCTCTTCTATCTGTTGCCCCTTGCTTTCTCCATATGGCTTCTTTGAAGAGAGAGCCTCTATGCTCTTTGTAGCTACCCTTTAAAATGTGCGGAAAGTCTGTATTTGTTGACTGCATTCCACTGGGAAAATGCAAAAAAATGGTTGGACCAAGAAAGAAAGGAAATTACATAGGTTCTCCAAAGAGAAAATCTCCACAAGAATAATTAGGTTGCCTGGGAGGGCTGAACATAGGGTTCCCTTCTTTTTGAGGGAATTTGTGCCTTTTCCCTATGGTTACATACTATGTTTAATGGACTGATAGGATTTTAACAGTGTGTGGAACTAATATACATATATCTTTTTATCAACAAAGCAACAAATATATAATATAAATTACACAAGAAATGTCAGTAAAGAAGAATGCAACATAGCTTTCATCCCACATGGTAAGGATTTCATGTAATTCCAGTTTGAAGAATTTCTGGCCACTCATTCCTAAACCAATGTTACATGTTTAGTCATGCCTGTGTTGTTTGGGGAGGTAGTGCCATGCATCAGATCCATTTAATGGCTCACATCTGTGACAAAGAGACAGATTCAGTGCTGTTGTGGTGGGGATATCTAAAGACAGTATTGCCTCAGAATTTCTTCCAGTCATAGAAATGAAATTTTTGTGATTCTAATAAGTCTAAGGAGTATCCATCCAGAATGCTAAAAAATACACAAATGAAATAAGTGTAATAGGTGAAAAATAAAATGCAGAATTTATGTTTGTCACCTATGACAAAACACAATTATAAGAGTCCTTATGTTCCCTTTCTAAGTGAAGAATGACTATGAGAAAAGATAAAGGGTGTAAGGAAAAAAAAATCAACCATATGTTCCCCCAGCCCTCCTACATCACTTGTAATTTGTATAAAATATGAGCGCAAGCAGATACAGCAAATGGAGAAGGTGATTGCAACATACTGTTCCCACCTGTAAGTGGGCACCATTAATAAACTGAACTCTCAGACTCATGCGTGTGTGATAACAGATCTGTATAGTAGATATCTGTGGCATAATAGTCTGTATAGAAAAATAGGGAACAGACAATGGTTGCAAAGGAGAAAAATGGTGGACTCATGAGTGAAAAGGTACCAGATTTGGCTCAGCTATGGTATATGCTGTATTGCATAGTCATGACATTTAATGTACCTGTTCTCTACTGCTTTCCCTATAAAATGAGATAGCTTTTCATAGCTTTATAGATGTTTAGAAAAAGAATCAATTAAAGATTTTGATCCTGTCAGCTGTTACAGACACAAGTAAAAAAAGTGGACAAAAGGAGTCCCTCCACATGGATAGATATGATGCACAGAGAATATAATTTGAAAATTCACATATCACTTTGCCTTTATTCACTACCACTTATGCTTCTTGCTTATTTGTGTCATGGAGATGTTTCTGTTATGTTGTTCTCCAAAGCACACTGATTCTCAGAGTGGGATTGCAATGTGTAATATTCTGAAAACTAAAAAAATCTTCTAAAACAGGTACCTGTATGTTGGAGTTGGATTTCCACGAGCTTGACAATTCAGAGACACTTTCTTCTCTTCAGAATCAGTTGGAAAAATCACATCATCTGGCTCTTGTACAAACACCGGCCCATAATCAACACTTTCTGTGGAAATAGAAGTGCTATAGTTTAGGAAGTCTGAATAAATGTAAGTGTATTATAACTTTTATAAAGTGAGATTAAGGTATGCAAAATTATGTTTGTTTTCCAGAGGTTCATATCACATTACTTCAGATGCTATATTAAAATGCAATGGTTAAAAAAAATATAAGGAAGAAATATTAAATTATCAAAAAATATATAGAGTTTGATTTAAGTGTTCATTATGCCTTAAAATTGTTTTATCATCAGACATATTTTGGCCTGTAGTCTAATGAACAGCTTGAGAGAATTAAGCCAGCAAGAGTAGCTAACTCCGTTTATAGAGAACAAGGTAAACAAAAATTTTCCTTGCTACTTGCAGCAGCTTAGCTCACGAAGAACTAAGATACAGTTTTCCCCTTTATGTCAAGGAGTTACTAAGAAAAATCACTTGTAAAATTAATGGCAGCAGCAGTGACTACTATTAAATAATATGTAGCAAAGCCTGACATTTCATTTTCCTCTGCTGTGTTCTCTAATTTTGGCACGTATCTATATCTTAATATGCATTTACATTTCAGAACAAGAAAAGCTGGATAGACCCATAGAATACATCTATGACACCAATGAAGAGGAAAGTGTAAACTTCAGGAAAGTAAAATGTTCCTTATCATGTAGGTCTGAGTAACTAAAATGCTCACTGTGCACTAGAAGACTGTGGAATTTTAATCAACTTAGACTTGCTCCAAACTCTTGAATGATTTATTCCCATAATGCTCTTCAAATTTAGAGCACAAGGCTAATGATTTGGGTGAGGGGAGATAGCTACATTGTCCTACTCCTTGCAATGAAACATATGGGAGCAGGGCTTTCTCTGACAGTTTTATGGTTTTATATGTTCACATCATAGAAGTCCTCCAACTGGTACTGAGGACGGCATGACACCTTAAGCAGTTTATAACCTCTTGATATATTTGTCCTAGCAATACCAGCTTGAAACAAGAAAGGTGCATCTGAAGATTTTGGGTTTTGATCATTGCCTTATAAAAATTATTTACTGCATTATTCTACCAAGTCCACAGAACTTCAACCACATGTTATGGGTTCACAGTTTTGGGAACGGAGACCTTCTTCATGCTGCTAATAGTTTCAGGAAGTTTGGGTGGACAGGAGAAGGTGCATGGGACTATGAGTCTCGGTACAGAGAAGACAGTCTTAGAGTCTGTAAAAGGATGAGAAGCATGGGAGACACAGGTCATAGCAAGCTAGTTCTGAGATGCAAATTTCCATGCCCTTAAATTCTGTGACATTTGGGGTTTCTCAATTCTGTTGTTATCATATGGTGAAAAGACCACCTGAAAACCCATTATGTTATTCAACCTTCCTTTTAGTGACTATACACTTATTGCACACTTAGGTTTTTTGTCTTTTTACACTGCTATTCAAATGCAGATTTAGAAAATAACGTTATTTTCAGGTATGTATGCTTCTACTGAAATAGATTCAAATAATTAGCCTGTCAGTTTGTAAAGACAGCAGGTAAGAGCAACAGCAATTAGTTGTTTCTGGTTTGCATCATTTTCAAACTTGTTAGCCCTTTTTGTAGGACTGTCTAAAGGAGTGTGTGTTGCTGTTCTGCATATTTACATTACTTCTGTGTTTAGATACGTTACTTCAATTGGGTGTATGGGCAGAAATATATTTTCTGGGACAGATATATGCAGTATTTAAAACAACCCAACCACAATAAGTGATTTCTGATATGTGCTTACATTATTGACATTAAAATAATTCCAGTACTAAGGTTTGAGCACTCCAGCTGAGGCAGCCACAGGGGCACTGGAACCAGCTGGCAAAACTGATTTTAAGAAAGGAAAATGTGGGTACAAAAACATTGTATGGATTGTTTCTTATAATATGGTTACCTGCTTCTTACATTGCACAAGGGAAAATACTAATAATGTAGGTATAAATAATTGGAGCTTTTATCAAAATAGAGCCTAGCAAAACCAAAACTTAATTAATGAATGCAAAACTAATTGTGGGTTTAGATTTAGGTGTTATTCCATGCAGTTTAGTAAGTGTATGGATAGGGAGTATATTCATGAAGATTAATGATTTTATCTTCTCCCTAGGAGTGACTCTGTAGATAAAATATAATGTCACAGTCTAGGATTGCTGGAAAGAAAAGAAAAAGATGCAATGCTAGGTAGGTGCTGGTGTCACTAGCAGTACAGGTGTTCTGTCTACCTGTACTATTTGCAAAAGTAATACTGAAACACTGTGTTGCACTTTCCTTTTGGAAGAATAACCTTTCTTTTCTTAGTGGTAGTGTCCAAATGGCTACGTGTGCTATGTGGAATGAGAAGAATAGGTTTTACTTCTGCCTGCAGTGAAAACAAAGGTAGCAGAGAAAGATCAGTACATGCAAATCATGTTCCTAAAAGATGAAAATATGTACTTAGCTGCTTATCTGCATTTCAGATGGAGTGTGGAGTACCAGCAGAGATTATTTGGACACTCAGAAGTGACATAATAATGAATGAGAATGTTCATCAGTTAGTAGCTAAATTGACTAAATGAATTCTTAGATCATCTAGACTACGGAAAAATAACTGAAGAAAAAGGTCTATTCTGAAGAGACCAAAGCACTTGCTGAAAAGACGAGCCTATATGTTTATAAATTATTAGGCTTAATAAAGGGATTATTAGATAAAATGCAATGGGGTGTGATATGTGATATCCAGGAAATCATCACAGAATCACAGAATGGCAAGGGTTAGAAGGGACCTCGGGACATCATCTAGTCCAACCCCCCTGTTAAAGCAGGTTCACCCAGAGCATGTTACACAGGACTTTGTCCAGGCAGGCTTTGAATATCTCCAGAAAAGAAGACTCCACAACCCCCCTGGGAAGCCTGTTCCAGTGCTCTGTCACTCTCAAAGCAAAGAAGTTCTTCCTCATATTCAGCTGAAACCTCTTATGTTTCAGTTTGTGCCCACTGCCCATTGTCCTGTCGCTGGGCACCACTGAGAAGAGTCTGGCTCCGTCCTTGTGACATCCACCCTTAAGATATCTGTATATGTTGATGAGATCCCCTCTCAGTCTTCTCTTCTTCAGGCTGAACAAGCCCAGCTCTCTCAGCCTTTCCTCACAGGGGAGATGCTCCAGTCCCTTTATCATCTTTGTTGCCCTCCTCTGGACTCTTTCTAGGAGTTCCTCATCTTTCTTGAACCGGAAAGCCCAGAACTTGACACAGTATGCCAGGTAGAGTCTCACCAGGGCAGAGTAGAGGGGGAGGATAACCTCCCTCAACCTGCTGGCCACACTCCTCTTAATGCACCCCAGGATACCGTTGGCCTTCTTGGCAACAAGGGCACATTGCTGGCTCATGGTCAGCTTGTCATCCACCAGGACTCCCAGGTCCCTCTCGGCAGAGCTGCTTTCCAGCAGGTCATCCCCCAGCCTGTACTGGTGCATGGGGTTCAACCTCCCCAGGTGCAGCACTCGACACTTGCCCTTGTTGAACTTCATCAGGTTCCTCTCCACTCAACTCTCCAGAACACCTAATGATACTATCTTCATTTAAACTCCAGTGAAAGACTTGAAACTGAAAATCTTAGGTGTTCTATGCCTTATCTGTTTATACCAAAAGCAATGAAGGAAACACATTGCAGATGCAAATATTTCATTTAAATATTTAAAAATATTTTAAAATGCTTTTTCAAATTAAAACACAGACTGGCTTATAATTACAGAGAAAATTTTAATTTTCTTATACATAATGCTAATAAAAGCTCAAATAAAATTAAGCCTTGTGAAGGCTTCAATAGTGGTATCAATGATGGGCACATAGTTTAGCTAGCACTTAATATCCTGTTAAAGGTAATGGAAAGTCTTGGACTCTTCCAAAATTGACCTGGAACACCACTAGAGGCTCACTGTATTCTCTTGTTTATGTAGGAAGTTTAAAGCTACATTGAAACTGTGGGACTTACTTAAGAATGTTTCCCACAAGCTAACGCACACTCTGTTAGTGTTGCTGTTTCATGGTGGGTTGGGACTCAAGGGTGTAGAACTCATTTCCCTTCCCCTAATACAGGTAATGGAGGCAAAGCCAGGTTTCAAGGCACACAGTTACAGTGCGAGGCTGCAGGTCTGCAAGACTACTCAGTCATGGAGTCAGCACTGAGGACTGAATTGGACCGAATGGTGACCCCACAGCCTGAAATCTCTGAAACTGAGCAATGTGAATAGTCACCCTGAATTTAAGTAATTAATCCATTTTCCTAGAACAAATTAAAAAAAAAAAAAACAAATGTGCATGTGCATGGCACCACTCATAATGCAGAGATTTCTAACATTGTAAGATAGAAGTCTGAACTTTCAGGAAAAAATTTAGTGGAATTTTGGCCCTCTTGCCATCTTAGCGCTTATCATCTGTTATTATAAGTAACAATTACTTATTAGCAGCTTTCAACATTTTCATATCAAAGAAGACACTTAAGGAACCATAACCTTAATTTAGATTTTAAAACATTCAGTTCAGTGATGAATAAATTAAGTTGATGTTCAGCATTCAGATAAGTGGCTTCAAATTTCTCCTGGGAATTCTGTAATCACCATACTTCTTCACAATTTTCAATTTGTCAATAACGTTTAACTTTGATTCTTGAATAACACCGTGTCTTCTTCATTCTTTATACTGCCTGTATTGTTTCTGAGGTGGACATGCCCCCCATGAGAGAATAACTAGCAGACTAAAAGCTGAAGTGCTTGGAGAAAACATATATCTAATGATCAGTATAGGGTTTAATCAGCCTTCTGAGGAATAGGTGATTCTCATCTACCACTGCTTTTAGGGACTAATGATTTTAAGTAGGTGGCAATGAAGTTCAACAGCTGAAAAGTAGACCTGGGTTAAAAGTTCACTTTTCAATAACTTTTGTGTCACTGTCAATCTTGGTGCATTACTTGATTCAGGAAATCCAAGCTGTACCTATGTTAATAACAGCAGCAAATGA